TGATACGCAATCGGTCATGACCCACATCGGGAACGCAACGTCCGACCACGAAAYTGCTCTCCGATCGCCGCCGGATCTTCGCAGTGATCCTTTTTGTCCGCAACCTGCGGCGGTTGCCCTCTCTATCGACGACCCTCTATCGGCAATGCTCTTCAGTCGCATGACAAATTTCTCGTAGATAATGATTACATTCCAATATTACCAACAGAATTGAGTACAACTGTATTTCAATATACTGTTTATGCTTCCAAAATACAAAGTTGGACGAATCTGGAAACTTTAGGAAATCTACTTTATACCACTTATTTTTATTTGTTTCTGGTTTCAAGTCTTATTTTATTAGTGGCCATGATTGGAGCTATAGTACTTACCATGCATAAGACTACTCAAGTAAAAAGACAAGATGTTAATCTGACTAAGCTTCCCTCCGAACCGTGCGTGCAAGATTTCCAAGCACACGGCTCTCCATCAGTTTGGCAAGACTACTGACTGTTTCCCTTCCATTTTCATGTACTATGGAAACTCTGACGCCACACTTCGTGCCGGCACACGGACAAAAAAGTTGAAGGCGTTCCCGAATTTTCTTGGTAGAGGCAACTTCGTTGCACTTATAGGCAAATAACGTAATACATTTTCGTGAATTTCTGCTATCTTTATATTTAGCATCATAACCACAAATAAAAATAGAACAGCAATAGCTCCTACATAAACAACTAAAAAAATCATAGCAAAAAAATCAAGACCTAATAACACAGATAGATCCGGCCGGGCTCTAACAAAACACGGCCAAAGGTGTCCCCTCTAATCGTAAGATTAGAGTGTGCATCCAGCTATATCGGGAAAACATTCATTTACATTACTTGGATGGATCAATCCCGCCTGATAAGTGTAAAGTCAGTAGTTCAAATCTACTTAGGCCCACTCTGCTCTGCTGGCGAGCCGCGCTCGCAAGAGCGTTTTCTTTTCTTTTATTTGATTTTCTTTCCTTCGGCCTCTCATCTCACGGCGAGCGCACCACAAAGTATGAAGTGTTAATAAAAGGTAAAGCAAATAGTGAAACAAAGACAAGACCTATTGCAGCAACACCTCCTAATTTATTCGGTATACTACGAAGAATTGCATAAATAGGTAAAAAATACCATTCTGGCACTATGTGAGCTGGAAATCAATTGTAGATTGAACCGTACCCCAAACCGACACAGGTGATGACTAAATCCTAATTTCAAGATAAGTATGGAGCTCTGTGGATTAGTACTAGCTTTATATCCAACACCTACGATTTCTAAAAAACAGAAATATTTGGTTTCCATAAGCTTCACTTTATTTAATTTGACAAAGAATTCCCGCTTCCAGGAAGCCGCCGTTTTCCCCAACCTGAAATCAACGGAACCAAAGCACTGATGAGTCGGTGTACAGCGGAACCTTTGTGAGATTGTATTACAAAACGAGTTTGCGAAAGAAGTACTTTATCTTCATCTCTTGTGATTGAGAAATGAGAGATGGACTTTCTTCTTTCTCTCTCCAGATATAATTGAGTCTAGAGAGTGGGTAAGTAAACAAGATAATACGCCGCCGGCCAAATCCAACCATCCCAGCTCTTATCTAGACTGAACCCTTAGCTAATGGGAATTGAAAATTGACGATGGCCCGGTGGGATTGAATTCATTGATTGCTCTAGCTTACTGAAACCTCACGGAGCATAAGTTTTCTTTCCTTCTTTGCTCGATTATGTAATCAATCGCTTATCTTACTTTGGGTAGAAGAAATAAAAATACAATTATTATGGAATCTTCTGTAATCCAATCTTGTGTTTGTTCCTCCCAAATGTCCTCGACTGTTAGAATGCCTTTCGATATCCAACTCTTGCCGAAATTCCCAGAAGCCTGAGAAGCTGAGAAGGGTGTTCCATCCTGCTGTAAGATCCTTTCATTATCAAACAGAAACTCCTTCAGTACCTGGCTCTTGGACGTCGGTGCCTCATGCACTGATGGTCTAACCTTTTGCCAGGCCTTCAGAATCGATCTCCATACCTGTGATTTCATCCGCCTGTCTGTAAAAGAAGGGATCAAAAAGCATTGCCACACTTCTTTATGGTTCTCCAACTCCCATTCAGTCCCCAATATATATTCAGCTAGTTGCTTCCAGATCTTTTCTTCCCCATTAAACATAGCGTTTATCGGCCATTGACCCAGAAGTGCTATATTTTGCTGTTCGGGGTCAAGCAATCCCAAACCCCCTTCTGATCTTCGCTGTGCTACTGTCTCCCATGCTACCTTCGACAGGAACCCCTCACCTTCCAGACATATCCTGCAGCCGAGCGCCGGATGCTGAGGTATGCCTTCTCTCCCAGCAGGTGAACAACCATGGGGAACCATAGAATCGAGAAAGCTGCTGCAGATAGTACTAATGCTCTTCCGAAGATTGACAATTGGAAGCCCCTTTCCCGATTCGCAATTCTCGTTCTTACTTTCAGTTCCAGAATTTCATCCTGCTTTGCTGAGGCGTTTCCCAAAGAGATCTGCACCCCCAAAAGTCTTTCTGTCTCCCTTTCCCCCACTCGATTCATCCCCCAATCCACAGCCAACTCCCAAGGTTCTGGCAACAGGTACGACGACTTGTTCCAGTTAATCGAGGCTTCAGACAAACTGCAGTAATTACTCACTATTGTTCTTAGCTCTGTTAATGAGCTTTCAGTGTTGATACTTAACAGAGTTAAATCGTCAGCCAGTGCATTCCCCTTCCAGTGAAGTGCGGGGGGGATCTGCAATCCAGTAATACTACTGTTATATCTAATGTTGTCCAATAGTACTTCCAGTTGAATCACAAAGAGGAGAGGGGCCAGGGGACACCCCTCACGTAGCGAGCGCGACAGTTGAATTTCCTCTGACAAACATCCATTTACATTTAACCATCTTCAAGAAATTGGGTCCGAAGTTCATCTTTTTCAATGTGGTGGCCACAAAGGCCCAGCCTACCTTATCATACGCTTTATCCATGTCCAACAATAGTATGGCCACGTTTCTGTTCTCCAGGGCAATTATCTCCAGCGCCTGCATTGTAGCTAGGATATTTTTGTGGATAGATCTACCCTTAACGAATGCTCCTTGTTCTGGTCCTATGATATTCAGGAGGTGTCTGGATAAGCGTCGGGCAAGTGCTTTTGCCATTTATCTTATATGTTACGTTCAATAGGGAGATTGGTCTGTAATTTTTAACTTCTTTCTTGTCCCCTTTTTTGTACATCAGAGTTATTATCCCCCTCGTGAAACCTCTTGGCAACGAACCCCCTGTTAGCTGGTTATTGCAAATGTTCGTCAGGAACGGACCCACCGACTCCCATGTCTCCACAAAGAATTCCGCTGGGAGCCCGTCCGATCCCGGACACTTGCCCTTCTTCAGTTCCTTGAGCGCTTCTCCCAATTCTTCCACTGTAAAGGGTCCCTGCCGTGAGATAGTTATGTTCGTTCTGTCCCAAAAGTTTGAGCCCATGGTTAGATCCGTGTCAAAGTCTGTGCCTGGGAGTCTGGAGGTCAGGATGTCTACAAAATACTCCCGAGCATATTCGCACATCTGTTGTGTTGATTCTACTATTGGATGGTTTGTCAGCAATGGGTGAGCCAGGTGTCTTATCAATGGTTTAGCTTGCTGTAGCAGAAGAGATCTGAAAGTAATTTTTGTCATCCTATCAAACCCTGTGATTCCCCTCAGGCTCAACCATTCTAACCATTGAGATTGTTTTTTCATTAATATAGCCTCCAGTTCCATTAGCAGAACTCTCCTCTTTTCTAACCAAAATCGATCGGCATATGTGTCTTGACCCAGATGTGCTTCTGCGTTAGCTATATCTTCTTTCAGCTGTCTTTCCTTCCTGTTCCTATTAGCTACCTTGATCTGTGAAAACACATTGAGATTCTCAGAAATAACCCTTATTCCAACATCTGCCCACTCTTCTTCACTGATGAAAAGGGATTTGGCCTGCTGCCAGTCCCTCATATGTCTAGAGACCCAGTTCTTGACTCCTTTATCCTTCACGTGAGTTGTATTTAGGCGAAATGACCCTCTATAGCGCTTCACCTGTTCCCCTGAGACGATATCCATCAAAACTGGATAATGGTCTGAGAGAGAGGCTATTTGGAAGTCCGCCCATATACACCGGGCCCAGATAACACCTCTGGCCAGAAGGAAGTCAAGTCTCCTTCTGGCAGAGGTCGAGCCACACCAGGTATACCCGTTACTTTCCGGGTTAAGTGTGCGATATACATCAGTTAAGTTCTGCGAGCTCATAAACTCCAGTAACAACATGGAGTCCGCTCTTAAAGGGCTTAACTTTGGTGTATTTTTTCCTTTTTTTGGCCAAGCCCTAAATCTTCCGCTAGAACTACGAGAAAAAAAAAAGAAAGTAAAATTACACGTCATCATATTTTTTGCCTGTTGCGCATGCGGTTTGTCGTGGAGCGAGGCCTTGGGAAGTGGCGACTGTCAGAACGCGGCACTCGATGATTCCCTTTTTTCTGTATTTGTATTTTGGGCACTCCGCATCCCCAAGGCCTCGCTCCGAAAAAAAAAAAAAAAAAGAAAAAAAAAGGCCTCGCTCCACTGCCCTCCAAATGTGCAAAATGAGACTGAGGACATACTCACACTAGCACTTTTTTACTTGCTTATGGACGTGATTGCGGTCAGATGCGGCCAGGTATGGCCGTAATTGCAGTCAGATGCGTTTTGAAAAGTGCTGGTGTGAGTACACCCCCGAGACCTCCGCTACAACAATGGAATGATACACCACCATAGCTTCGGTCTTTTGCGCATCTGGAGCCTCGTCCCACTACCGGTAGCGTCGATTAACGCTACGGCTCCATCGTTTTGAAAAGTGCTGGAGTGTAGTGGATCGATCGAGGCCGTCGCGCCTAAGTTATGAAACTGCCAGCTCCCCCTATATTGCGATGGGCCGAAGAGAAGACGTGTTCTAGTGTACCCGTGTTGTGGTGTCGTGGCCAGCGGCGTGAGGTTCAGGATCAGCGCTGTAACCAGGGTGGACATGTCGGCGAAGTTTCAACAGCATTGCAGCAGAGATTATGCGCTCTGAGTGAAGCGGGAAATGCCCTTTTCGAACAATCCCCCGCCTGCGGAGCGGGGGAGAAGGTGCGCAGACGCTGCGGAAGCGCTAGTCAGTTGATTAGTCCCTCGTCATCGATCGATCGCACCGTCGATCAATCCATTGTAGGACGAAAGGTGCTTGCTTTGCGAAGCGATGGCGATGGCGGCGGCGGAGACACTCGGACAGCGCGGCGCATGTTGCGCCTGCGGTGCTGCAGCGCGGACCGCGGAATCCGGCGGGAGAGAGATCATCGCTTATCATCACAGCTCCACTGTTTCCGCGAGGCTTGTCAGTCGGACCGCGGAAGACCTGGCCAGCGGAAGAAGGGGGAGGGGGAGACTGCGGAGGACGTGGTGGCTCGAATCGGCGCGACGCTCTAACGATTTCCCATCGTCCTCAAATTACGTAATTTCAGGACATGACCGACTTGCTTTCTCCTCCTGCTCATCGACAACATCTCCTTCTCCCTCGTTCCTGATCGCCTCCGCCTCCGCCTCCGCCTCCGCCTCCGCCTCCGCCTCCGTCGCCGCCGCCGCCGCCGCAGCCGCTGACGGGGCAGGGGCAGGGGATACAGCCGTTGCCACGCCGCCGCCGCCATCGCCAGAGAGTGGCGGAGATTCCGCTGGCGGCGGAGAGCACGCGCAGTTGATGGACGAAAGCCATACTCTCACTCTTGATGGGATTAGGAACACACTGATTCGATTAGAAGACAGCATAATCTTCCACTTGATTGAGCGGGCTCAGTACAAGTGGAATCTTCCCACCTACGACGCGAGGATGATCTCTGTTCCCCCTCACAATGTCTCTCTCCTTGCCTTTCTCTTGAGGGAGACAGAGCGACTCCACTCCAACGTTCGTCGCTACACTAGTCCTGACGAGCACCCGTTCTTCCCCGACGCCATCGAGAGACCTCTCCTGCCTCCTCTCCTCTATCCCAAGGTCCTGTGCGCGGGCTCCTGTGGTGTCAATGTCAATCCGGCGATCTGGAAGATGTACATAGAATGGCTTGTCCCACAACTGACAGAAGAGGGCGATGACAAGAACTACGGATCGGCTGCGACGTGTGACGTGCTGTGCCTGCAGGCTCTGTCGCGTCGAATCCACTATGGGAAATTCGTGGCAGAAGCCAAGTATAGACAAGCGATGGAAGAGTACGACCGACTCATTTATAACAAAGATAGAGAAGGGATAATGAAGAAACTTACTGTCAAGGCTGTTGAGGATGCAGTCGTTCGACGAGTAGAACTGAAGGCGAGGACCTTTGGTCAAGACATCTTCGAGTCGGGCGTCGCCGCCGCGTGCGACAGCGAGGAGCCGCGCAAGATCGACCCCAAAATCGTCGCTCGTCTTTATCAAGACGGCATCATGCCGCTTACCAAGGAGGTGGAGGTTGAGTACCTTCTTCGCCGTCTCGACTTTCCCAGGACACCTTGATTCACTGTCGAATCACCGAGCCATCCACCTGTTCATTCATTCCGCCGATTAGGCACACACACACACACGCACACACACACACACACAGTCACACACACACACACACACACACACACAGAGAGAGAGAGAGAGAGAGAGAGAGAGAGAGAGAGAGAGAGAGAGAGAGAGAGAGAGAGAGAGA